CGGTTGGCCATCACGGCTTGTCCGACCCATTTGGAGGGTCAAACGAGCCATACGCCTCATTTCGACGATTTTCGTGTGCTATAGCACACCATTTTTTCGGTGATCCGAATTTCGACGTCAAAAAAGCCAAATTTTTTTGTGGACGTCCTTGAAGGCCTTTTCTATGCATACGGTTTGCCATCACGGCTTGACCGACCAATTTGGAGGGTCAAACGAGCCCCGAAGCGTGCATACGCCTCATTTCGACGATTTTCGTGTGCTATTAGCACACCATTTTTTGGGTGATCCGGATTTCGACGTAAAAAATGCCAAATTTGTTTGTGGATGTCCGTCAAGACCACGTCTATGCATACGGTTGGCTATCACGGCTTTTCCGACCCATTTGGAGGTTCAAACGTGCCCCGAAGCGAGCATACGCCTCATTTTGACGATTTCGTGTGCTATAGCACACCATTTTTTGGGTTATCCAGATTCCAACGTCAAAAATGCAAAAAATTTTCGTGGACGTCCGTCAAGACCTTGTCTATGCATACGGTTTGCCATCACGGATTGTCCAACCCATTTGGAGGGTCAATCGAGCCCCGAAGCGAGCATTCGCCTCATTTCGAAGATTTTCATGTGCTATAGCACACCATTTTTTGGGTGATCCGGATTCCTACGTCAAAAATGCCAATTTTTTTTGTGGACGTCGGTCAAGACCTTGTCTATGCATACATTCTGCCATCACAGCTTGCCCGACCCATTAGGAGGGTCAAACGAGCCCTGAAGCGAGCATATGCCTCGTTTCGATGATTTTCGTTTGCTATAGCACACCATTTTTTGGGTGAACGGGATTCTGACATCAAAATGCCAAATTTTTTCGTGGACATCCTTGTAGACCTTGTATATGCATAAGGTTGGCCATCACAGCTTGTCTGACCAATTTGGAGAGTTAAACGAACCCAGAAGCGAGCATACGCCTCATTTCGACGATTTTCGTGTGCTATAGCACACCATTTTTTTGTTGATCCAGATTCCGACGTCAAAAATGCCAAATCTTTTCGTGGACATCCGTCAAGACCTTGTC